GTTAACTAAAGTTAACAGTAATGTGTGTACACACACACACACACACGCATAATTCTATGAGGACATCTGCCCAGGAACTGCCTGTCCAGCTTTGGACTGATGCTACCCTTGTTCTTGCCATTTGTAGCCAAGGATAATTGATTTAAAGCAGTTATGTAACCCTTCTTGTTTTTTTGTTAAAAGCCTTTTTCTTCCTTTAACTCCCTCACTATGCACATAGTTTACTATGGCATATTTATTACCATCGAAATGCCTACTCCTGAATACATATTATTATTTAGAGAGTCTCCTGCTCTTATTTGCCATTGAGTGTGACATAATAGTTCTCTTTGCATTAAAAATGAAAATTAAAATGATATCAGAAGAGCATCTATCTCTTTCTGTCTTTCTCCTGCATGATTTATGTCAATTTTAATGCTAGATCACATAGCACCTTTGTGCAAATTATAAAGCAGCACCTCTTACTTTTGGCAAATCCAAGCATGTGGGGCTTGGAAATGGGCAATGGCTTGGGTTTGAGCTCCCAGTTGCCACTTCAGCTGAGTGCCTTTATTCAGGGCACTTCCTATTTATCTTTTCTTATGGCCCTAAACACGTTTAGTACTTAATTTTTAATAAAGAAGGGTCAAGTAAATTTAGTAGAGAAAGCTGAAAGCATTATTACTGCACTTAATTTTTAAAATTTATTCTACATGAGACCAAACAGCCTTTAAATCCCACTACCACCTCCTGTTTATAAGAAAAAAAAAAAAAAAGATTATGAAGTCATTTTTAATTTTTAACAATTGAAGTATAATTCACATAACATTAAATTGACTCTCTTAAGAAACTCCTAAAACTCATTAGAAAAAAAAAAGAAAACAAAACTAATTTGATTACAAAACAGCAAAGGACCTGAATAGACATTTCTCCAAGGAAGACACACGAATGACCAACAGGCGTATGGAAAAGTGCTCAACATCACTGATAATGATGGAAATGTAAATTAAAACAAGAATGAAAATGAGATATTACCTCACAGCTGTTAGGATGACTGCTATCAAAAATAAAAAAAAATAAAAACCAAAAGATAACAAGCATTAGCAAGAAATTGGAACTCTTGTTGTACACTGTGGGTAAGCATGTAAAATGTTTCAGCCATCATGGGAAACATTCTGAAAGTTCCTCAAAATTAAAAACAGAACTACTGTATGATCCGGGAATTCCACCTCTGGGTATATACTCAAAGAATGAACATTAGGATCTTGAAGAGATGTCTGTACTTCTGTGTTCATTGCAGCATTGTTCACAATAGCCAAGATATGGAAACAACCCAAATATCATTAACAGATGAATAAACAAAATGTGATATATACAGACATGTAATGGAATAGTATTCAGGCTTTGAAAAGAAGAAAACACTGCCATTTGTTACAACATGGATCAACCTGGAGAACATTATCCTAAGTAAATAAACCCATCACAGAAGGACAACATTGCATGCTTTGCTTATATGAAGTATTTAAAATTGTCAAATTCATAGAAGCAGAGAAAATAATGGTGGTTCGCAGGGGCTGGGAAGATGGGTATCTAGGGATCTGTTTCTCAATAGGTTTTAAATTTCAGTTATGCTGTTTTGATGTGTATTTCCTAATAACTCATAGTGGTAATCATCTTTTCTTTTGTGTATTAGCTACTTGTATATCGTCTTTGGAGATATGTTTACTCAGGTCCTTTGGTCGTTTTTAAATTTTTATTTTTAAATTATATTTTCATTTTATCTTTGAGTTGTGGAAGTTCTCAATATGTTCTGGACTCTAGTCCCTTATCTAATAAAGGATTTGTACGTTTCTTCCATTCTGTGTGGCCTTTTACTTTACTGATTGTGTCTTTTGAAGGATAAAAAGTTTAAACTTTGATGAAGTCATGCCTGAATATTTTTCTTTCATTGCTTTTTGTGCTTTTGATGTTCATTGCTAAAAAATCATTGCCTACGCCAAGGTCATGAAAATTTACATTTAGATCTTTGACCAGTTTTGAGTTAATTTTTAGATATGATGTGAGGTAATGACACTTTTTTTTTTTTTTTTTTTTAAGACAGGATCTCACTGTCTCACTCAGACTGGAGTGCAGTGGTGCAGTCATAGCTCACCGAAGCCTCCACCTCCAGGGCTCAAGCAATCCTCCTGATTGCATGAACGTGATTGAAAGTAGGGTAGGTTGGAGGAAGGTTCCAGGCAGAAAGAATAGCATACGCAAAGTCCCAAAGGGAGACATGCAACTGTTTGAACAATACTGAAAATAGGTCACTTTTGCTTTCATGGGCAGGGCTACAAGTGGTGGGGAGTAAAAGGCAGGGTAGTTAAAAATAGAAGTGTCAGTAGAGGGGCTTAGGCAGTAAATGATACAGATCTCAAGAGTACTAATAAGCAGTTAAAGACTTTCTCCTGAGTAAAGTGAGCGGGTTAGCATATTTTTACCAGGAGAATGGCATGATCTGATTTGCATAACAAGGTTCACACCAACATCAGTGGGTTGGTAAGGTTTAAGAATGAAGTCAGGCAAACAGGTTAACAGGCTGCTACAAAGATTTGTGCTTTCCAATGCTTAATTTTCCTACAAAGTATGCATTTTGTCCTAGGCCCGCACCATGTTTATGTGCAAAAACGAGTGTTCTAAAAATGACTCCCCATTCATGCTACTACTGTATGGCCACCTACTAACCTGCTAAAGTATAGTCTGTCATCTTTCAGGTAAAGTAGGTTCACACTTATATTTGGACAGAAAGAAATTTGTTATCCATATTGTTTAATATCTTGGATAATTTTTTTTAAATGTGCCATTTCTCATGGAGCTTTATAAAAACCAGTACTGGAGACTAATCAGATATACATGCCACTGTAATAAGAATGAAGCAAAAAGTGTTTCTGCACTTTTATAGTGAGTGAGTTTCTTACCTGATAATGTGTTTCTTTTTAAGTGATGAACATAAGGAACTGGCAGTTTTAAATTAGGGATTATGCAAAGGGTAACCAAGAGGAACAGAAATCAAATACCTTTTGTTTAAAAGTAGCATTAAAAATGAGGCCGACAACCTGAGGCAGGTGACGTGAGACTGATTATAAGAATATTGCGACAGTGTTTGTGTTAGTTAAAATACAGAAGCAATTTTTCAAAAAGTATTTTTATAAGACTCCAGCATGGCTTAAAAAGATTAAAAGTTGGTTAAATCTATAGTAGTTATAATTGTAACTAAACCGCAAGGCAAAGAAAAAAATTAAGTTATAATTTAAACTAAACTGAGCTGGGTGAAGTGGTTCATGCCCAGCACTTTGGAAGGTAGAGGCAGATGGATCACTTGAGTTCAGGATTTTGAGAACAGCCTGGCCAACATGGTAAAACCCTGTCTCTACTAAAAATAGAAAAATTAGCCTGGTATGGTGGTGTGTGCCTGTAATCCCAGCTACCTGGGATGCTGAGGCATGAGAATCTCTTGAACCTGGGAGGCACAGGTTGCAGTGAGCCAAGATGGCGCCACTGCTGAGGCAGACAGATCACTTGAACTCAGGAGTTCGAGACCAGCCTGGCCAACACTCCAGCCTGGATGACACAGCAAGACTCTGTTTCAAAAAAAAAGAAAAGAAAAGAAAAGAAAACAAAGAAAACAAAGAAACTAAACTGGAAAGCAAAGGCAAAGAGCCATGGTCTGTTCCACAATCAGCTTGTGCAAAGGTACACACATGCAGGATAGATTCCACAGCCATTCTGAGATATACCTTCTTAACCAGATAACCAACGAAAGGGCCAATATATGTTATGATTCTGGATTCAAGCAAAAGTTAAAGACCATCTTCAGTCCAATTAGAAATGCAGTGATTACTTAAATCTCTACTATCTAATTTCCATCTTTAAGGATGCCTGACAGTGACACCTGATTGAATAGCCAAGAAAACAAGTGCTGGAGTTCACTGAGGGGCTCAGACACCAGGGTGATGGTCTCACAGTAATCTTCATTGTAGTTCCAGGGCAAATTTACTTTCTCTGAAATTTTGAGCGAGACATTAAAACTGTCACCTCTGGTAATGTGGAAAATACTGAATGTACTGAATAGATTTGGAGTCTAGTTAAGGGGACTTCCAGGCAGAATACTGAAAATGCTATCTAGCTTCTGCGCATTGTCAATGACCAGTGCCAATGGAGAGCGTTGAAGAAAATAACACATTTTGTAGTTTTCCAGTAGAATTTGCAGGACATTTTAAAGTGCCCACGGCAGTCTTTCCAGTTAGCAAACTGAACTTAAAGCCTGGAAACAGCCTGGGGCAAAGGTTAAAATTAATCCACGGCTATGACTATCCAAGCCTTTATTCAGATTTTACAAAGATCCAAGGCCGTTCCACGAAGATACTTTCCGGAAGCCAGAGGCCTTGTAAATGTATGACAGCTGTGTCTGGCAGGCCCTCTCTGGTAAACAACAGAGATTCTAAAAATCTGAAGGATACTGTGCTAAAAACACATCAGAAATAGTGAAGGTAGAGAAGGACATACCCAAAATAAATGTGTGGGTGTGGCTTTTTCTAATGGAGTGGATTATTGTTGCATAAGAAATCTATAAAGTTTTAGCAATTTTACCAGGTTAGATTAAAAGGGACAGAGAAAAGCCCCACTGAAATGAATATCGGGACCTCTAAATTTTTATGAGCAGGAAGCAGGCTGAAAAAACTGCAGCTGGGAACATGGATTATTATGAGAAAGAAAGCATGTCTCAGAGGGTGAAACAAAGGATTAGAACACAGACCCTGCAGTCACAGGGTTCTACCCTGGGTGCAATATGGGGCCCTAAACGGAGATGATTGACCAGTGTCCTGCTAGGTTTAATATTGCTACAGGCCAGGGACTGCCATGTATGGCCTGTTCCCTCTCTTTGAATTGACTTGGATATTGCTGTCATATAAAAGCATGCCTAGCCCTCCATTTTGTGTTGGGTATATGGAAAGCAAATAACTTGTCTTTTTGGTTAATAGGCCTTTAAGCCAAGAGAAGACATACCTGAGCCATTGAACCAGAAGGGCTGAGCCCCACCTGGATCTGATGCAGATTAAAATATCTTGGACCTTGGGCCTGAGCTTGGAATGGAATAAGACCTTTGAGGATCTTCGTGGAGAGTGAGTATGTTTTGCAAAAGGGAGAAATGGAAATAATTTGTGCTCAAAAATTGGACTATGGCAGCTTGAGGTCAGTGAAGACATCACTACACAAGCTTTGGTACTCCTGCCATCAAGACATAAAGACAGTTTTCTTTCCCTTTAAATCAAGGCAGGCTTGGACTGCTTTGACCAATAGAGTATGCCACAAGTGTCCCACGGAATGGGACAGAAGTGGCCTCATGTGACTTTTGAGCCTGGATCATAAAACACCATGAAGCTTATGCCATGTTCCATGGGGTGTACCAATAAGAGCCCCGATCTACTAGATAAGCCTCCTGGGGATGCCATGTACTTTTTTCTTATATGTTACAATTGTCTTAAGGAAAGAGTGATGCCAACTATAACATGACACAGCAATTTTGGGAAACGTTTTGCATATTACTTTTCTATTTTGAATTAAATTTTAGATTCACTTTCAATTCCTTTTTTTTTTTTCTTTGAATCTCAGTGTTCTTCAAAGAGAAACAACAACAAAAAGAAACAAAGAAAATCATATTTGGGCTTAGAGTGTAGTTAGTATCTTAGTTCTGGCTGATATAACAAAGTGCTATAAACTGGGTAGCTTCTAAACAACAGAAATTTATTTCTCCCAGCTCTGGAGGCTGCAAGTCTGAGATCAGGCTGCCCACACGGTCAGGCTGTGATGAGGGCCTTCTTCTGGGTTGCAGATGGCTGTCTTCTTGTATCCTCACATGGTAGAAAGAGGGTATAAGAGCTCCTGGGTTTCTTTCCATAAGGGCACTAATCCCATTCATGGGAATTCTACCCTCCTGGTTTAATGACCTCTTAAAAGTCCCACCTCTTAATACTATCACCTTGGGTATTAGAATTTCAACATATCAATTTGGGAGAACACAAATGTTCAATCCACTGCAGTTAGCTTAGAGATTTGCAAGGAAACCTCATTAGAGGGCTTGATCATATAGGTAATAACCTTCTACAGTTTGTGTTTTAATGGAAAGAATAATAGGAGAGTCAGCCAGGATACCTGTGTTCCTTCCTTACTCTCTCACTTAATTAACATATAAAGTTCTCAGTTTTTCTATCTTTAAAATAAACATATTTCATAACTGCTATGGTTTAACCTTAAGTCCCCACCCAGATCTCATCTTAAATTGTAATCCCCAGGTGTTAAGGGAGGAACCAGGTGGGAAGTGATTGGATTATGGGGGCAGTTCCCCCATGCAGTTCTCATAATAGTGAGTGAGTCCCTATGAGATCTGATGGTTTTATATAATAAATGGTAGTTTTTCCTGTGCTCACTCACACTCTGTCTCACCTGCTGCCATTAAGATGTACCTTTGCTTCTCTCTTACCCTCCACCATGATTGTAAGTTTCCTGAGGTCTCCCCAGCCATATGGAACCGTGAGTCAACTAATCTCTTTGCTTTATAAATTACCAAGTCTCCAGTATGTCTTTATAGCAGTATGAGAACAGACTAATACAATCATATAGCAACTGTTGTAAAAGTTGACTAGTATAAAATTGTATGACTTTGCAAACTGTGTCTCTATATAGAAATAGTAATTGTGAGCATCAGTCACGCCAGCTGATTTTCATTTTGGTAAGCTGACGTTCTCCACCTTGCCTCACTCCCCTGACTGTGCCCCTTACTACTTCATCCAAATCACCTGAAGGGCTCTTGTAAACACAGATTGCTAAGTCCCAACACCAGTGTTTCGAATTCAGCAGGTCTGTGGTGGGGCCCTAGAATTTGCATTTCTACGAAGTTTCCAGGTGATGTTGATGTTGCTGGTAAAAGACAACTGCTTGAAAACCACAGATTCAGCAGGTAAAATGAGCCAGGTTTTGTTTGTTGTTGTTGTTTTTCTTTTTTTAAAGTAAGCAATAAGCATAGTGGGAGTGACCTCTGGTTATGTTTGCATGGGTCCTATCCAAAAGGCAGATGACATTGTTTACCCTTAAAATGTGTTTCTTTCCTTCTTTTTTTTTTTTTTTGTTATTTACTTTGCTCTTGCTAAAACATCATGTTTGAACAAGTAAAATCATTCTTTTTATCCACTTGTTTCTTTCAAAATCAAGAACGTAAGCTCCATGAAGCCAGAGATTTTACCTGGCCTTATTTATTCTTTTTTTTTACCTAGTGTCTAGAAAGTAACTGGTGTAAAATAACCATTAAATAAATATTTGGAGAAAGAATCAATAAAGCATTCTACTTAGACATAAGGTAAAAATAGAGAAAGTGAATAATAGTAATTAAAAGTTCATTACTAATTTAACTTATGAATTTATGAACTAGTTTTTTTTTTTTTCAATTTAACAAACTTATCCTGTTTTATCTTTTTTTTTCAATTTTATTTTATTTTGGATTCAGAGAGTATAGATGCATGTTTCTTATGTGGATATATTGTGTACTGATTGGAATTGGGCTTCTAGTATAACTGTTACCCAAATTGTGAACACTGTACCCCATATGTAATTTTTCAATCCTAACCCACTTCCCAACTCTTTTGGAGTCCCCAGTGTCTATTATTTCCATTTTTATGTCTCTTTGTGTCCATTGCTTACCTCCCATTTATAAGTGAGAACATGGGTTATTTAATTCTCTGTTTCAGAGTTAGTTCACTTAGAATAATGGCCTCCAACTTCATTTATGATGCCGCAAAGGACAAAACTTCATTCTTTTTTATGGCTGAATAGTATTATTTGGTTTATATAGACCACAGTTTCTTTATCCAGTCAACTATTGATGGAAACTTAGGTTGGTTCCATGGCTTTGTTATTGTGAACAGTAAAGCAATGAACATGTGAGAACAGGCATCTTTTTTATATAGTGATTTATTTTTCTTTGTGTATATGCTCAGTCGTGGAATTGCTGAGTCAAATGGCAATCCTATTTTTTATCCTTTGAGAGATCTCCATAGTGTCTTCCATAGAGGTTAAACTAATTTAAATTTCCACCAACAATATGTAAGCCTTCCCTTTTCTCTGCATCCCCACCAACATCTGTTGTCTTTTGACTTTTTAATAATAGTCATTCTAACTGATGTGATAGTATCTAATTGTGCTTTTAATTTGCATTTGTCTGATGATTACTGATACTGTGCATTTTTCACGTGTTCGTTGGCCGCTTATATTTCTTCTTTTGATAAATATCCATTCATGTCCTTTGCCCAGTTTTTAATGGGGTTATTTTCTTTTTCTTGTTGAGTTGTTTTATCCCTTAAAGGGGTATTTAATTAAAAATTAGTAACAATAATAAAGTGTAACTAACATTTTAAATGCTTAGAATGTATCAGATGATATTTTAACAATTTTAAATTTATTAACTCTAACCTTAAAAAACTGCCCCATAAAGGAGGAACGCAAAATGATTTCCCATTAGAGATGGCTAGAGCTGAGGCACAGCGGTTAAATAACATGCAAATAATGCAGATTTATACAATCAATTTCTCATTTACAAAATTATTTGAAGTGTAAGAAACATATAGTATGCTATAAATATGGAAATTCTGGAACTATGAAATTTAAATTAGAACACAAAGTCAAGATTTCAAATTTTGTTGTGTACGAGGCAGAGAGATGGGTGCAGATGGAATATAATAATGAAGGATATTTGACTTTCCTTCCCAGCAAGAAAAACAAAAGCTGTTCAAGTTCACAGGTTAATACATTCTCTTCCAACAGAATGACCTGGGGTTTGCTTTACCTGTTGAGTTACCAAGATGAACTGGCAGAGAAATTGTATCTTAACTGAATCTCTAATAATGCAATGAAGAGAACTTGTAGAATTAAATTAGAATAAAGAGAGAATTACTTTGTGAACAGCCACCCATGACAATATATATAATAAAGGCAAATATCAAATGCCCAAATATGATGCAAATGTTGAAAAGGTTGGGTAATAAAAACAGAAATCCAGAATGAGTAATTCGGGAGAAAACCTGGGCACCTTTCTGGGACAGGTGCTGGCCCCAACCCTAGACTTCTTAGGAGTGGTAAGGTGAGTGGAGAGACATACACAGAGAGTAATGGCTATGGTTTCAATGCTTGTGCCCCCTCCAAAGTTCATGTTGAAATTTAATCCCCAGTGTAACAATTTTATGAGGTGGGGCCTTTAGGAGGTGAGTAGAGGTGGGAGTAGTACCCTTTTGAAAGGGCTTGCAGGAGTGAGTTCAGCTCCTTTTGCCATCTGTCCTGTTCAGGTTAGGAGGACACCATTTTGCCCTCTGTCCCTTCCAACTTTGGAGGACACCTTCCAAGGTGGCTTTCTAGGTGCCACCTTGGAAGCAGAGAGCAGCCCCCACAAGACACTAAACCTGTTGGCATCCTCATTTTGGACTTTCCAGCTTCTAGAACTGTGAAGAAATAAATTTATGTTCTTTATTCATTGCCCAGTTTCAGGCATTTCGTTATAGGAACCCAAATGGACAAAGACAGTAATATTTATATAAAAATAGGTATGCCCATTTATTATTTTTATCCTTTGGAGTTTACCAGTATCTATTTATGCTGTGTTTTCAGGGGAGTAAACAAAAGATACTCTCCAAAAAATGATTTAAACAGTTACTAAGGGCAGGAGCCATAATGAACCATCTTCATTTTCCGCCATATGTCTAGCACTGTGTATAAAGTTGTCCTTCAAAAATTATGTGCTAAGTGACTGAATAAGTGAAACTTAATATTTTAAAAAGGCCTCATCAAAATAAGCAGACATTCATAAACAGCTATAACATAAGATGTATCAAAAATATCAGAACCTCAAAAATAGAAATCATTTACACCTGGTAATAAACATAATCTTTATGACAGAGGGGAAATTTGAGCTATGTCTTTTCCAGATCCATAAATCATTAATTTCTGAAGGTATTTGTGCTTTGACATACCATTTTTTTCTTACTCAAATTGACTCTATTCGTTACAGATAAAATGTTTTTTCAAAGATACGTAGCTTTTCCTCACTGTCTTTTTTTTTGCACCAAACATATGACATTAT